CTTGGCCGAGTTGGGGGCCTCTGGGGCTGCCTGGGGTTCTCTCTGGGGCAGGTCGTCTTTTGTCCGCACCGTCTGAACAATCACCACCCCGACCACCAGTACAGTACGGGGCAAGTCAGCTCTCCCAGCCCGACCCCTCTAGGTGGGGATGGGTGCTGCGAGCCCCAGGGGAGACAGCACCCATCCCCACCGAGGGGGGGGACGTCGGACCGCTCGGCCAAGGCTTCCCCAGTGGGGCTGGGAGCGGCCTTACTTGTCCTGACCTGGCTGTCATGCGGGAGCCGTCCCCCGCAGATACACCACCTGTACCTGATCGACTTCGGGACGGCGCCCCCCGCGAGAATGGGAAGCGCGCGGCGCGGCCCCCCCGCGGCGCCAGGCGGGGCCCATGCCTCGATAGGATCGGTCCGGCTCGATATTGATCCTGGCCGGCTCGATGCGATTCGATGTCGATCTTTGAGGCATGGCAGAAGCATGCATTATCAGAATTCTGGGATCTTGGATTCTGGAGTTCTGGGATCTTGGATCTCGGATTCTAGCATTGCCGCGCGGGCTTCTTGGATCTACGCTGGGACCCCGTGGCGGCGCCTCCCGCGCAGCTCTGGCCCGCTCCGCGCCAGGAGGGGGGCCAGGGCAGAGCTAAGAATTCCGTTCGGAGTTCCGAAAATTGATGTTCCTCTTGTCTTTTTGTGGTCCACCGTCGAGTTGACCCAAAAGGAGGTCCAGCGACAAGGGGTGGTGCAATAGATCTGGTGCAATCGATTTGTGGGGTTGCAATACATTTGGGGCGTGCAGCACATTCCAGGGCGCAAATGTATTGCTGGATTTTCGCGTGCAGTACATGTCTTGCAATACAATGCAATACAGTTCTCGGGCGCAATACATTTGCAGCACAATTGCCCCAAATCTCTTACACCACCCCCTTTCAGCTGGACCCTTTTTTTTGGAAATTCCGACGATCCTGTGCGGCTCGGTGTGTGCACTGCCCTGCTGTGCATCCTCCGATACGGTCCCGACCCCGTGCCGCCGCGGCCCGGCCCGACGCACCTCCCGAGCCGCGCCCGTGTGCCGATTCGATACGGACGGTTCCCGCGCCGCTCTCGCAAGCTTTCCGAGGCAGGGGTGGAGGAGCTCCGGGCTGCCCAAATGGGGTCCGAGCAGGATCGCGCCGCATCGCCGATGCGTCGGCGCTGTGGCGCGACCTCGAGCCAGATGTTCGTCCCGATGTCGCCGATGCATCGGCGATGCGGTGCTCCCTTCCGGTCCCATGTTGGGCGGGCCTCAGGAGGGGCGGCAGAGAGTGGCTGGAGGAGATGGCAGGAGAGGCTCTTGTCATGGCTTGGGTTCCCTCCCCGTCGCGCGGCGTCTCCCCAGATGGTCGGGGACATGCCCCGAGAGAGGGCCGGTGCTGTCCCTGGGCAGGAGGGTCCTTCTGACGACCCCCGCGGAGGGGCGCTGGGTATGCGGCGGGGGCGTCAGACGGTCCGCGCCGCCGCAGGACGGCTCCTCCAGGCGTTTTCTCCTCCAGCCCCCGACTTTCCAACGGAATGTGAAACCGCTCCGTAAAGAAGGGGAACCCTGTGATACACCCCCAGGAGGCTATTCGAGCGCACCCCAATCGAGGATGGACGCCCCCCATCCCACCACATCCCAGGGTTGGGCCCCAAATTCCTGGTCTTTCGAACCCCCACGAAGCCTGGGATAGGGTTCGGCATATCCCTTGTTGTTACCACGCGGGATCTCATCCGCGCGCGGCTCGGGATCCCGAGGCAGGCAAGTCCTGCAGCGAACCCGCAGGGTATGGGTGAGCGACTTTTAAAGCTTACCTTTGCATCCTTGGCCGCCTTCGCTGGCCGCGCCCCGCTTGCGGATTGCCCTTCGAAGGCCCTTGCATCCTTATTACGCGTCCTTGTTATACATACGGGTTGACCGTACAGTGTAGACCCATGCCAAGAAGCACCTTTCTTGCCTCCAGGGTGCCCTGGGGTTCTTGGGTTTCGATGGTTTTGCGATGGAAAGCGTGACGTCCCCACACCAAACATCAATGCACGCTCTGGGGTATCAGGGTTGGGATTGTTATTGAAGGTCTCTCGTGGTCGAGCTCCTACAGTAGGCCGCGGCGCTTGCCCCAGGACCAGGAGGAGGAGGAGGAGGAGGAGGAGGAGGAGGAGGAGGAGGAGGAGGAGGAGGAGGAGGAGGGGGAGGACGGGGAGGAGGAGGAGGAGGAGGAGGAGGAGGAGGAGGAGGAGGAGGAGGAGGAGGAGGAGGAGGAGGAGGAGGAGGAGGAGGAGGGAGGAGGAGGAGGAGGAGGAGGAGGGAGGGGGGAGGGGAGGGGGAGGGGGAGGGGGGAGGAGGAGGAGAGGAGGAGGAGGAGGAGGAGGAGGAGGAGGAGGAGGAGGAGAGGAGGCGGAGGCGGAGGCGGAGGCGGAGGCGGAGGCGGAGGCGGAGGCGGAGGCGGAGGCGGAGGCGGAGGCGGAGGCGGAGGCGGAGCGGAGGCGGAGGCGGAGGCGGAGGCGAGGCGCGAGGCGGAGGCGGAGGAGGAGGAGGAGGAGGAGGAGGAGCTGGAGGAAGTGGAGGAGGAGGTGGAGGAGGAGGGGGGAGGGGGGAGAGAAGGAGGGAGGAGAGGAGGAGGAGGAGGAGGTGGAGGGAAGGATGAGGAAGGAGGACGAGGAGGAGGAGGAGGAGGAGGAGGAGGAGGAGGAGGAGGAGGAGGAGGAGGAGAAAGAGGGGGAGGAGGAGCAGGAGGAGGTGGAGAAGGAGGAGGAGGAGGAGGAGGAGGAGAAGGAGGATACGGAGGAGGAGGAGGAGGAGGAGGAGGAGGAGGGGGGAGGGGGAGGAGGGCGGTGGAGGGGGAGGGAGGAGGAGGAGGAGGAGGAGGAGGAGGAGGAGGAGGGGAGGAGGAGGAGGAGGAAGGGGAGGGGGGAGGGGGGGGCGAGGTGGAGGGGGAGGGAGAGGCGGAAGAGGAGGAGGAGGCGCAGAGGAGGAGGAGATTGAGGATATGGAGGAGATGGAGGAGAAGGAGGGGAGGAGGAGGAATAATAATACTACTAATACGAAGAATACGAATACTCAGAATCTCTTCATACTGATAAGCATACTAAGCATAATAGTATGAAGGAAAATAATAACAAAATGAATAATACTACTAGTGCTCATACTACCAAGGATTGGACGAGCGATACTACTAATACTAATAAGACCAATGAGAACACTAATACTAATAATACTGCTAAGTATACTTATACGACGAAGAAGAGGAAGTAACGAAGGAAGAAGAGGAGGAGGAGGAGGAGGAGGAGGAGAGAGGAGAAGGGCCGAGGAGAAGGAGAAGGAGAAGGAGGAGCAAGTAAGGAGGAGGGGAGGCGGGAGGAGGAGGAGGAGGAGGAGGAGAGGAAGAGGAGGTGGAGGAGGGTGATCAGGAGGAGGAGGAGGAGGAGGAGGAGGAGGAGCAGCAAGTGAGGAGGAGGAGGAGGAGAGGAGGAGGAGGAGGGGAAAAGGAGAGGAGGAGGGAGGAGGAGGAGAGGAGGAGGAGGAGGAGGAGGAGGAGGAGTGGGAGGAGGAGGAGGAGGAGGAGGAGAAGGAAGGAGGAAGAGGAGGAGGAGGGAGGAGCTGGAGGAAGTGGAGGAGGAGGTGGAGGAGGAGGGGGGGGGGGAGAAGGAGGAGGAGGAGGACGAGGATGAGGAGGAGGAAGATGAGGAGGAGGAGGCGGAGGCGGAGGTGGAGGCGGTGGCGGAGGAGGAGGAGGAGGAGAAGACGAAGCAGGAGGAGGAGGAGGAGTGGGAGGAGGAGGAGAAGGAGGAGGAGGAGGCGGACCTCCCCAGCCTCCCTACTGCCCCGTAACGCTGGCCCGCCCACCACGCGCGAGGATCGCCAGCGTTGCCGTGCTCGGGGGCGGCCACGAGGGGGGGCGATGGCCAGGGGGGGTGGATCTCAGGGCGGGGGCCAGGACACCTCCCAGATGTTGTGGCCCCTCTTCTTAGCTTGATGCGCCCCCCGTTCCCTCCCCCGGTAGGCCGCGCACGTGCCTCGGGCCATGAGTTGCGACCTCCCCTTTCGGGCGCCCCCGACCTGTTCGCCAGGCGTGCCCACGGCGGAGGGCGCGGGGACTCGTGGCGCGCGGCAGCGCCCAGGATGTGCACCACGTATTACGACAAGAGCCACTTGCCGGAGGGGAGGGTGGCAGTTCGGGAGCCGCAGCAGGAGGATGATCGGGTATACAGTCGACAAGTATGGCAAGGATGGGCAATTTTCCCAAGGGTACCTTTGCATCCTTCCCTCCTCGGTCAACACTTGGCCACTTTCATTGGCCGCGCCCCGCTCGAAAAGCTTCGAGATGGCCTTCCGAGGCCCTTGCATCCTTGTCGCGCATCCTTCTGGTACGGGCCGACGGTAGCCAGGGCCCGGGGCGTCAGTGATAGGGCCCCGAAGGCAGAACAAGAGGTGCTGGAATCATTGCACCAGGGCTGTCGTAGCTTGCATGTTTTCGGGCGACGGTGGTCCTGGCCATTCGAATGGGGCGGGGAAGGCGTTCCGCAGCGCGCATCGATAAACCAGGTCCCAATCCTGCCAGCGCCCGAGAGTCAATGGGGGAAAAAACACCCCGACCGCGAAAATTAGCGTTTACTGAACGGCGGCCCTGGGCGTGTACGAAGCAGCCCTGCCCTGTTGGATTCTTTCTTTGGGTGCGTTTACTGAACGGCTTCGCCTGCTGGGGTGCTGATTGTGAGGGTGGATCTCTTGCTCTCTACAGAGGAGCGGGGCTATGATGTTCCAACCTACTTTCCGGCCTCGGCCACGAGGACGAATTTCGAGCACCAAGAAAGAACCGAAGCCACTGATTTTGGCTTCCTCGCCGAGGCCGTTTTGGACGCTCCGACGACTCGCGAAACCCTTTGTCCGGGTCCAGGGGAGGGGGTAGGGGGAGGGGAAAACCCCTCCCGGAAGGGGAAGACGGAGGGGTGGAAGCGGAAACTCTCTAAACCACATACGCCCAGATGGCTGGCGGGATTTCGAACACCAAGACAGAACCGAAACTGGAGGGCCCTGAAGGGCGACACCCCTGGGACAGCTTCGCGCGTCGGGCCCTGGGAGGCGAGAACTCGTTCGACGCTCCGCCAGCGCCTTGCCAGCGTCGTGGGCACTCGGAATTATTTCGGGGGGTGTGGCCCTGAAGTGCGATCAGGTCGGGTCTGTCCCCCAACAGGGGCATTATGGACGAACAATAAAACATATGTTTAAAAATGCCCCAACGATGCCCAAACATAGTCAACAACGAGTCCCCAGACTATTTTTTTACCATTCTTGAATATCCCCCCTGTAGAGGGATAGGCCCGACTTGGAAGTACGACTGGAACAACATGCGCAAGATCGGGGATTAAAAAAAGCCCCAACGATGCCCAAACATAGTCAACAACTAGTCCCCAGACTATTGTTTTACCGTTCTTGAATATCCCCCCTGTAGAGGGATAGGCCCGACTTGGAAGTACGACTGGAACAACATGCGCAAGATCGGGGATTAAAAAATGCCCCAACGATGCCCAAACATAGTCAACAACGAGTCCCCAGACTATTGTTTTACCGTTTTTGAATATCCCCCCTGTAGAGGGATAGGCCCGACTTGGAAGTACGACCGGAACAGCATGCGCGAGATCGGGGATGTCTCAAAGAATGGCCGGCGCGCTGCCACTGTGGTGTTGAGAAGGGGCGTGCTGGAGCGGCGCGCCGGAGCGGAAGCATCGGCCTCCAGGCCCCGTCCGACCCCCCCATCTTGTCGGGGGCGGCAAAGAGGGGGGTGAGGACTAGGGGGGGGTGGATATCATTCGGGGGAGAAAAAGATACGGATACGTGTTGTCCCCCTTCGTGTTCGGCCTTTCCTGGTCCTCCTGGGGAATCCTCGTTGTCACCGCTGGATTCGCCTCGAAATTCTGGTCAGAACGCACCCCAAGAGAGGTCCGGGGACAACACGTATCCGTATCTTTCCGCCCCCCATGATATCTCCCCAGATCTCATGGCGCCTCTTCTTGTTTCATTACGTCCCAGGCCCCCCCCCCCCCGGCCGCGCACATGCCGCCGGTCATGATTTGCACCCCCCCCTCTTGGACACCCCCCTCTTGGCCGCTCCCGAATCTTGAGGGGGCCCGCCGCCGGCCAAGGGGGGCCCTCGGGGCTCGTCCTGGAGGGCCTTCGCGGGGAAGGCCTGCGCGATGGTCCTGGCCAGCCTCGCCGCCACCGTGGCGACGCAGGATCTGACGAGCGAACCACACACACCCATACCCACAGGGAGGTCGTTGGGAGGAGGACTTTGCTACGGGCATGGGTGCGGGTCGTCGGGCCCCGGGGAGCGCTCCCGTTCGGGCGGGGACCCCCGTCCGACAACACGCACCCACAGCCCTCTCCGATCCCCCTATGGGTACGGGTGTGTGTTTCGGGCCGGGCGAAAGGGGGGGATTGGGAAAGGGGGGGTTACGAAATCTGCTGCATGCAGCTGGTTTCGGCCCCACCGAGGGGCCCATTCCTCGATACAGGGTCGCCTCCGGCGCCGGGAGGCGCCAGGAAAAGCAGCTGCATGAGCTGATTCTCAAACCCCCCCTTTGCTATCCCCCCCTTTTTGCCCGACCCGAGTGTTGTTGGTTCGTCAGGACCGGGGATTCCATCGGGACCCCCCGCCTGGCCAGGGCGACGGGCGGGAGGGGGAGGAGGAGGAGGAGGAGGAGGAGGAGGAGGAGGAGGAGGAGGCCCCCTTTTTGGTGGACTCTCGACGCGCGCAGGCCTGCGCCCGCCGCGGGGCGCGGCCGCAGGCCGCGGCCCCGGGGGCCCTCAGGAGGGAAGGAAACACACAGGCACAATTCATCGTCTATATTGCAAAATATGGAACATATGGAAAATATTGAGATTCCTGTTATTTGCGTGTGTGTATTTATTCGTGTGTCTGTGGGCCCCTTCTGGGTTGCCGTGTCTGCGAGAGGGCCCTCGGGGCTCGAGGGGCGGGGATCGGTGCTGCAGGCCTGTCGTTGAGAGTGGGTGTTTTTGGAGGCCCAGATCCTAATCTGCTTTCGGTGCCTTCTTTGCTTCTTTGCCCCTCTTCAGGGCTTTCCTTCTTTGCCCCTCTTCAGGGGGCGGGTGGAAGCCCAATCCACTTCCAGCGCCTTCCTACTTCATGTTTCAACCCGCTTCTGCCGACCGGAATGTAACGGGGGTTCAGTCATCGGCGGCGAGCGGGCCTCAGAAGGCGGCGGGACTCCTCAGAGGCCCTCGCGCCGTCTGGGAAGTCTTCGTGCTGTCTTCGGGGAAGGTTTAGACAACTTGTCAGAAGGCCGGGGGACTTCCGAAGCTTCTGAGAAGGCCTTCCCCTTCTCACTTACCCCCCTCGCTCGCCGCCACAGTCAGAGCGCGGGCTCTCGCAGGATCCTTCAGACCCAGATCCTTTCGAACAGTCAAAACAACTCACAACGGGAAGGTGTTCGGCATCTTCGGCATCTCTGGGGGCCATCTCCGGGCCTCGGGACAGTCAAAAATGGCTTCGAAACACTGGTACCGGGGAATGGGTCCAGGTCATCAGAGGGTCGACGTATTGAAAGAATCATGACGTCATGAGTCTTGGGAGCCATGGCTGCACTGACCCAGTGGGCGCAGGATCTTGCAGGATCTTGGAGGATCCTGCAGGGCCCGACTGACTCGGGTTTGGATTGTCCCAGGTCAGTAGGTCCCCGAGGTGTCGTGTCAAAGGGGACCTTGTCCACCCCTGAGTGGACGTGCTGCAAGCGAATCGGCGCCACCGCAACATACCAACACTACGCGTGCGTCGCCCCCAAGGAGGCGACGCGCGCGCCGAGAAATCTAACAGTGTATGTTCCGTGGCGGGCGCTTTCTGTCCACACCGCACGGAAAATTGTATGCTGCAGGATGGTTATGCCATGTGTTGAGGTCGGACGCACGCCTCCAAGGAGGACACATAGTACTAGTATCTCCATGTGCGTCCCAGAGAAGGATTTCCCGTTGTGTTGATGTCGTTGTTGTTGATGTGGTTGTTGTTGTTGCTGTTGCTGAGCCACGGGTAGTCGGCCACAGAGAGTGGGCAGAAGATGGGAGGAGGAGGACGAGGACGAGGACGAGGAGGAACAGCAGGGATATCCTTCACCTTCGCGCTTCCTGCCTCCGTACTTGGTTCTTCTCCAGCGACGTTTCGCAGAGGTCTCTAGCCGCGGTAAGACGTGAATTGCAGAAGAGTCCCACAGGAGGGTCTGGGAGTCCGAGACCGCCCGGTCCTGCGGCGGTCCGGCAGCCGTTTTGCTTGAGATCGCCTCGCAATGTGTTCAGGAATCGTGCCCTCTCGCCGAGCGCGTTCCACTGCTCGCAGAGTGCCTGCTCGCCAACGTCCGAAAAAACACATGTCTGCTTCGATATAATTTCGGGGGCGGAAAAGAGGCGGGTGATGACTAGGCGGGGGTGGATATCATGGCGGGGGCCATGATATCTCCCCAGATTTCATGGCGCCTCTTCGTGTTTCATTACGTCCCTGCCCCCCCCCCCCCCCGGGCCGCGCACATGCCGCCGGCCATGATTTACACCCCCTCCTCTTGGACACCCCCCTCTTGGCCGCCCCCGATAGTTTCTCGCAGATCCCTGGCGGCGGGTCCAGGCCACCTGCGAGCAGAGACTGCGGGCAGTGGAACGCGCTCGCCTATACCCTCGAAGCACTGCCGGCTGCATGTTTGGCCCCGGGAGCTCACGATCTTGGGAGGACGAGACGGTGAGGTGCACCTGGGTGTTTGGACGCCCGAAATGGGTACTGAAAGAATGGGTACAATGCCCAACAACAATTCCTGTTCATTTTGAACCGGATTCGCTGTCCGCGCCGCCGCGGCCTGTGTCCATTCGAGACAGAAGGCCGCCTGCCCAACAGCGGCCGCTGTTGGCTTGGGACAACATTTGTTGTTGGGCATAGTGCCCATTCTTTCCGTACCCCTTTCGGGCGTCCAAAGGGTGTGCGCCCGCCCCCGCGCCAGCTGCACCCTCTCCTCCTCGGGGGCTCACCGGCCCCTTTGCTCCTCCGAGTCGTGCAAGGAGCCGGCGGCGAGCTCCGAGGCCTGCCCTCGCCGAGCAGCGAGGCAGGCAGCTCGACGGGCGGCGGGGGTGGGGCTGGGAGTTCGTCGAGCACGTGGCGGAATCCAAGCCCCGCCCCCGACCCCCATCGATTCAGGAGAATCTCGGACGGGGCTGGGACGAGGATAAGTCTGTTTCCAGAGTGTGTTTCTGGATGCTCTCTCAGGGCGTTCCGGGACGCTCTGAGAAGGCGGCGACGCCCGATGCGTCTTCCAGAACTGCCGGATCTCTGAGATTCTCGATTTCTCCTCATTGGATGTTCTCCTCGTCCTGGCTCCGTCGTATCGGACGTCGCCTTTTGATTGGGGTGCTGGCCAGGGTGCCTGCCAACGGCGCATGGGCTCAGATGCAGAGCCGTCCACTGCGGGGGGGAGGGGGGAGGAGGAGGAGGAGGAGGAGGAGGAGGAGGAGGAGGAGGAGGAGGAGGAGGAGGATGAGGAGGAGAAGAAGAGGGGAGGAGGGGGTGGAGGAGGAGAACGTTACGACAGACTGTCCCCGCCCGCCTGTTTCCCTCCAAGTCCACTCGCAGGCCGGACCCCCTTTCCCTCTCCCCCTCCTCCGTCCTCGAAGTCCTGGGTCGGCCATGTCCCGCTTCGCCACCGGCTGCCCGACGGCGTCCCAAATCGGTCCGTGGATCCCGGGGGGCGCGGTCGCTCGCTTGCTCGCCCTCGGGCACCTGGCGCCAGAGGACTCTGCTGGGCATCGCCCTTGGGCTTTGCTGAGGGGGGACCGGCACCCAGACGGCCTGCAAATGAGGTTCCTGCAGTGTTCGGGAACGCGCAGAGAGGGGCATGGGGAGGGGGAAGGCTTTTTGGAAGGAGGGTGCTGCGCCTTCTAAGAAGCAGCCTCCGTCTAAGAAGCCTTCCCCCCGCTCTGCCCGCCGCCAACAAGTAGCCTTGAGATTCGACGTTGTGAACAGAAAGGGATACAAGCATCGCGAAAAATCACGACCGGAACCCTGGACCACATAATGTTGCATGTGTCGAGTCGGATCGATCTGTGATGGTCACGGGGCCCGAAATTGGGCGTAAGCGCCCGGTGCGAAGAAAATGCCACGCTTCGTTGTCCTCCTCCACTGCTCCGCGGGTGCCCCGGGAGGGAAGGTGCGAAGTGAGGCGTCGCTGGTCGGCCCTGCCTCTCCTCTTAGTTGACGGGGGAGCGTGGGTGGCGAGATGAGCGGAAAAGGGGAGCGGAGGGGAGAGGTGAGAGGAGCCGACGAAGAGTGCAGGGGATGGGAGAGGGCATGAGGCAGGAGGCAGGCGGATAGGAATCCGACTGTGGAGGGAGGACGGGGAGGAGAGAGGGATGGGGAGGAGAGAGGATGGGCAGGAGAGGAGGAGAGGAGAGGTGAACGAGGATGGTGGCGAGGGTATGGCAGGGGGAGAGGGAGGGGGGTGGATGTGTGAGGAGAGAGTCAGAGGAGGGGGGGGGGCAAGGGGGTTGCGCTCGTGATGTCCCCCAGGTCGGAACGGCCCGGTACGCCTCCATCAACACCCACCAGCTCAAGACGCAGAGCCGGCGAGACGACCTGGAGGCGCTTTTTCGTTTCCGTCCCTTTTGAATTTCGGGGAGACATCTAAGGCTCGAGTTTGCTGGAACTCGGAAGTTGCCGCCGCTTGTTGACGGTCTCAGCGTGTATCATGGCGTCCTGTTTTCGTGAGATGTGTGCAGCGGGTGTTCGCGCACAATCTCAGACGAGGTCCACTATTGTGTCTGGTTGCCTGGTCGGGCAAGTCCGCGTCCCTCCAAACTCAAGCCTTACGTTTCCCCGAGCGTTCCCCTCGATCTGCCTTGCTTCCTCGGGACTGGCTCTGTTTTATCGTCCGGCGAGAGCCCAGGTTCTTGGGCCCGCCTGCCCCCGCCCCCCCCCAAGGATAAACTTAAATCGGGCACGTCCCTCTACAGGAGGAATATTCCAACAATAGTTACAATATAGTCCAGGGACGATTATACGACTTTTTAAGTATTGTTATATAGTTTTCGGATATCGTATTTTTTCCTCCTGAATCCGTCTGTAGGAGGACATGTCCGACCTAAGAATAAGTTGATTCTTTGTCGGTTGCGCAGGTCACAAGGGGTACGCGGTACTGGTGCTCGCGGGCATACGCGGGGCTGCCCACTGCAAAAAGGCGAGGGGGGGCCCCCCATTGGATAACTCTGGCTATCGCGGAAAATCACCACCCACCAAACCACCCCAACCCAGCCCGAAGGCCCCAATTTGCCCTCCATTCCCAGTGGGGAGGGCGTCGGGGAATTTGAAACAAACACATATGGAAGGTACCCCCCCAACCTGAAATTCGGGTCTTCGGGTTGGGTTGGGGTGGTCTGGCAGGTAGCCAGAGTCATAAAAAAACGGTCTGGTAGATAGCCAGAAGGGTAACAACCGGTCTACTCCTCCGCCCTCCTCTCTTTCCTCCACCCCCCTCGACCCCCCTTCCGCGCGCGGCGCACGAGACGCCGAGACGACCCGCGCAAGCCCTGCACACCCATCCGCGCCTGGCCGCGCATATAGGGCCCGGGCGGGGGCGGCCAGCGCACCCTCGATCCACTGCGAGTCAGGATGTGGTCGTGGCGCCGGTTCAAGGCTGTGCGGTAAGCTCATGCGCGTTGGCACACCGGCGATGCTGGCGAAGGCGTTCAAGGTTGATTTCTGTGACGCGGAAGCACCGAGGGACGCGGTGACGGCATTGGACCCGACGGAATCTAACCTGGAACGATTGGGGCCGCGATCGATTCACGGTTGAACGATCGGCGCGGAGTCAATTCTTTTTGCTCGCGCCGTAGCCGCACGACCCTTCCGCACGCTCATGCCGCAAAAAGCGGGCCGGCGGGTTAGGAGGAAAGCCCCCTGGGAGGGGGGGGGCTCGTCACGCAGCAGCGCCCTGGGTGATGATGTGTGCATCGGGTTCCATTCCTGCTCTTTGGCGTCGTCGTCGTCGTTGGGATGATTCGATTCGATCGTTGCTTCTAGCATTTCTTTTTGTCAAATTATGGCGTTGATGTGTTGCCCTTCGAAAGCAGAGCCTGACACATAGAGAGAAGGCGAGGGCTGACAGGATGCGGAGTCGGGGCTTTGGCCCTCTAGAGGGGCGTTCCTCCCTCTCGTGCCCTGTCGTGGGCCGCCTCCGCAACTGCTTGTCTCATGGGTTTGCAGTTTTGGCACGGCAGGGGGCGCGACGTTGCGATGCCTGGAGAGTACCACCACCTTCTCGGGGATGCGGTGCCGGACTCCTACGACGTGCGGCTCGCCTTTCGGGATCTTCGCGCCGACGCCGAGTTCGAAGGCTCGGTGACGGTGGCGCTGACGCTTCCACGCGAGGCGACCAGAGAGCTGGTTCTTCACGGCAAGGCTCTCCGCGTGCAGCGGGCATGGGCCACCGGGCACGCCGGCGCGGAGCTGCAGGCGGCGGAGGTGGTGGCGGACGACGCCCACGAGACGCTGACCTTCCGCTTCGCCGAGGCTCTGCCGTGCCGCTTGGAGCTGCACTGCGAGTACGTCGGGACGTCGGGGAACAAGCGGCGCCGTAAACATGTGATGTTCGGGGGTCCGAAAGTTTCGTTTGTGTGAACCTCTCTGTTCCCCCAGGAGGGTCAGCGGCCCGCTGCTGGGCCTCTACCACTGCCCCTTCGACGACGGCACGGCGGGCGTCAGCTCGCACTTCGAGCCAGTCTACGCGCGCTACGCCCTGCCCTGCGTCGACGAGCCGCGGGCCAAGGCGCGCTTTCGCCTGGCCATCGCCGCCCCCGAGGGCCTCACCGCGCTCTCCAACATGCCGGCGGTGTCCCGTGAGGCGCGCGGCGAGGGGCTGCTCGAGCACAAGTTCGGTGAGACCCCGCGCATGTCCACCTACCTGCTGGCCGTTTCCATCGGCCCGTTCGACCAGATAGAGCCACCGCCTGGCACCGAGACCCCCGTGCCCATGTCCAGGCCTCCCAGATGGGTCCCGACCGGATGGGGTCGGAGGACTGCGCCGCTCGCTGATGCATCGGCCATGCGGCGCGGTTCGGATCCCGTTCTCTTCTCTATCCCGCCGTCGCCGATGCATCGGCGATACGGCGCGGTCCTGCGACCCCATCTGCTCCAGCCGCATGTCGGAGGCCTTCACCATGGCGCTGTACGCTCCTCCAGGCAGCGCAGAGCGCGGGCGTTTTGCGCTCGAGGTTGCAGCCTTCTCGCTTGGCTTCTTCGAGGATTTCTTCAAGGTGAAGTTCCCGCTGCCCAAGCTGGACCTGGTGGTGCCCCCAAGCTTCCCGATTGGGGGCATGGAGAACTGGGGCCTCATTTCGCTGACGAACCGCGCGCTCATCGACGACGACGCCTCGCTGCAGAAGCGGCGCGGTGTCGCCACGCTGGTGGCCCACGAGGTGTCCCACATGTGGTTCGGGGACCTCGTGACGCCGTGCTGGTGGGAGGACTTGTGGCTGAAGGAGGGCTTCGCCTCCTGGGTGAGCTTCCTGCCGCTGGACGCACTGTTCCCGCAGTGGCGGGTCTGGGACCGGTGGGCCGCGGAGCTGCTCTACGGCGGCGGGGGGCACGGCTCGGGCGGCGCTCTGGAGACGGATCAGTACCGGGGCACGCACGCCATAGAGGTGCGGGTGAACCATCCCAGCGAGGTACAGGAGATCTTCGACGCCCTGAGCTACGACAAGGGCTCTGCCATGGTCAACATGCTGTTCCACTTGCTGGGCAAGGAGGCGTTCTGCGCGGGCCTGAGCGCGTGGCTGCAGAAGCACAGCTTCGGCAACTCCTGCACTGCCGAACTCTGGGACGAGCTGGGCCGGGCCTCCGGGCAGCCCATCTCGGCGATGATGGCGTCCTGGACGAGGCAGGAGGGGTTTCCCTTGGTCGAGGTCGGCCTCGACGCGGCGGGGGACTCCTGGACCGTCTCCCAGTGTCGCTTCGGGCTGGACGGCGAGGCCGCGGGCAGAGCTGGTCAGCTCTGGCACGTGCCCTTGGGCCCGCTGCACGCGGATGGAACAGCCGAAGAGGGCTCGTCGGTGCTCACCAGTGCGCAGGGCACCCTCCCCCGCCGGGGCGCGTGGGTGAAGCTGAACGCGGGCGGTCGGTCGCCGTACCGGGTGCGCTACGCTCCAGAGCTGCTGGACGCTTTGGCGGCCGCGGCCACGGACCCGCGGGACGTCTCCATGGCGCCGCTCGACCGAGTGGGGCTCGCCAGCGACGGCTTCGCGCTGCTGCGGTCGGGCCGCCTCGCCGTCGGGCCCCTGCTCGGCATGCTGCGGCGGCAGCTCTCCGCGGAGAGCGACGCGCTCGTCCTGGGCACGCTGCTGGGCGTCGCCCAGCGGCTGCTGGACGCCTTCGCGGGCACGGCCCCGGCGCTGCGCGGCTTCTTCGCGGGGCTGCTGGGCCCGCTGAAGGAGCGCCTGGGCTGGGCGCCCGTGGAGGGCGAGGCCGAGGACGACAGGGTGCTGCGGCCCTCCCTGCTCAGCGTCCTGGGCGCCTGCCAGGACGAGGCCGTGGCGGCCGAGGCGGGCAGGCAGACGAGCGCCTACCTGGCCAGCGTCCGGGGCGTGCTGATGGCGGCGCCCGCGCCGCCGGCGGACGTCCGCGGCGTGGTGCTGCGGATCGGGGCGGCCTCTGCCCCGGAGCTCTGGGAGCCGCTGCGCGCGCGGCTCGCGGCGGCCACGGGGACGGAGGAGAGGGACCAGCTGCTGGTGGCCCTGATGGGCCACAGCGACCGGGCCGTGCTGCAGGACCTCGGCAGGCAGCGAAGGATCGCCACCACCGCCCCGACCAGTCCGAGGAGGGCCAGTTTGAGACAGCGGACACGGGTGGTGGGCCTTCGGGGGACCCCCCCGTCGCGACGGTTGGACGCTGCAGCCTTGAAAACCGGTACGGCTGGACCCTGGGAGAGGTCTGGGGCCCACTTTTGAGCTGCCGTTGTCTCAATTCGCCCTGCTCCGACTGGGCACGACTGCGACGACTGCCAGCAAAACGACTCTGCAGCCTTGCGGCCACGCAGTGGCGCTGGAGGTGTCGCAGCCACCACCTCTTGTTTTCGTTCAGGCCTGGTGCGGGGGGGTCCGTGCCTCCCCAGGATTGGGTGGCCGGCGCGGTGTCCGGCGCGCTGCCGCAGATGGAGTGGGCCACCATGTTCGCGGGGCTCGCCCGCAACCGCCACCACCGCGGGCTCGCATGGGACATGCTCGTGCAGCACTGGGGCGCCGTCTTCGCCGCATGGGGCAGGTCCCAGTTCAAGATGAAGGCGATCGTCGCTTCGGCCATGTCCGGCGCGGAGGCGGCCGACGTGGAGCGCTTCTTCGCCCAGGAGCCCTGCCCGGTGGTCGCCAAGACCATCGAGAGGGGGCTGGAGGCGCTGGCCGCCGACGCGGCGCTGAGGGAGCGGTGGCCCGAGGTGGACGAGTGCCTGCAGTCGCTCAGCGGCGGCGGCTGAGTCGGCGGCCGCGCGCTGTTTTTCCACGGCGGCCGCGCGCGCGGGCGGGCGGTGCCCAGCATCGCACTTGGGCCCGGGAGCGCGCGCGTTTTTTTGTTGTTGTCGTTGCGTCGCTCGGCTTCGCCCAATAGGTGCCCTGAGGGAAGAATTGGGCCTCCTATGATGGGTCGGAGTAGAGTCGGTAACTTATAAGATCGAGGTCGGTTCGGGGAGAATGCCCTCTTGTACTTCGTGGTTGTTGGATGTACTTGTGCATCCTGGGGGAGGGCACCCTCGAATTTTCAGCAGTTTGGGCCTGCGGAGGGTCTTATGTTCTTAAAAGATCTTAGTTTGCCGTAGGCTCGACCGTGTGGGGTCGGAGGATCGCTCCGCATCGACGATGCGGCACGATGTGGCGCCAGATGTTGCCCACGCCGATGTCGCCGATGCATCTCCGATGCGTCGCCGATGCGTCGGCGATGGATTGGCGATGCGGTGCGATTCTTCGACCCCATCTACTCAGACTCCATCTGGAAGGCCTCTCGAAAAAGAGAGGGCCGAGCAGGGATGTTCATTCGAATTCGGCCACAAAGTAATCCTTGATGCCGCCGCTGGCCCTACAGTGTAGCCTACAGGATTCGATCTCTGTAAGGATGGCGTCCACCACAGCCCTCTTGCGGGTGCAGGAGCGTGGGCAGTCAGCAGGAGGAGGACTATCGGGAGGAGACTGAGGAGGAGGGGGAGGAGGAGAAGGAGGAGAGAGACAGCGACAGAGACAGAAAGCGACAGAGACAGGCAGGCGACGAGGAGGGGGCGTGGGACTATGAGGAAGAGCTATGCTGACGAGCAGAAACAGCATAATATAAAAAACTCCCGAAGGTGGGAGGGGGTGGCAGTGTCGTAGGCAGTTTTGCGAGGCTCTGAGGCAGCCAGCCGCCGAAGCCCGCCGCAGGCGCCGAGTTTTACACATTGCGCAAATAGCTCGCCGCAGGCGCCAAATTCGGGCGGGTGGGTGGGTGGGTCGCGGTTGGGTCACCGTTGGGTCGTGGGTGGGTCGTGGGCGGGTCGCGGGCGAGGACGACAACAGCAAGCAACAACAGACAAATTGCAGCCGCAGCCCTCATTCTTTTTCTCGCGCCTTCGCAGATCACCTCCCAGTTTGCGGCACGTGGGTATGCATGGTCCACGCGTACCGTCATTCCAGCACCTCGCAGCTAACCAATCCCAGCCCACGGGCTGGATCCCCAGAGGCAGCGGACTAAGACAATAGAACTGCGACGGTGGGGCCGAGGGCAGCGTTGGTCCTGCCCTTGTTCCCGATCCTGCTGCTCATTTCGAAGAAGGAAAATCCACCGCCTGAATATGCCCACATCCACCGCTTCGAAGTCGTGCGCTGAGATTTGAGAAGTGGTGGATGTGGATCTCTGCTCGCTCGTATGGGCGGGCAGATACCCATCTCCACCGTCCGCCGAATGCCCAGAATACGATTCCGCGGCAGTGGACATGGACATATGATGGCGGCGCAGAATCGTTTCGGAAGATGTTAGCGGATTTCTTGGATCTGCGCTGGCCCCTAGCTTGGCAGCGCCTCCTGTGCCGCCTTTGGCGCGCTCCGCGCCCCAGGGAAGGAGGTCCAGCGCCGATCCAAGAAGTCCGCGCGGATTCGAGAGTTTGTATATATATATATATGTATACACATACACATACACACATACATATATATATATATATATATACACCAGGTACGAGTGATATACAGCTTTCCTCTTCTATCCTCCTTCTTTCCTGTCCCGCGGGATGCAACTCCTGGGATGCTACATTCAGCATCGGCGCTTGCACAGCCGTGGTCGAAGGCCAGCCTCATCCGGCATACTCACAGGCAATGCCGCCGAATCCCGTCCAATCCGGCTGGATTCGGCGCCATCTGGGTCGATCCAGCTTGGGAGCGCCTTACTCGTTATGTTTCTGTTGCTGCTCTTGCCTCTTACGGGCGGGGCGGGGACAAGGATAACTCCGCTCCAGAGCATCCCGGGGCGCTCTCGGAGTTGCTGGAAGTGCCTCAGGCCCGAGGCGCCCCCAGGATTTCCAAGGAGGCCCCCACGGCCTCCAGAGAACCCCCTCACGAGGCCCAGAGGACCCCAGGAGCTCCAACATTGAGCGAAAAGCTGGGGGCACCTTCGGCAGGCCCCGACCGAATTGGTCCTCGTCCGGGCTTCGTCTCGTTCCTCCCCTGGCCAAGGGCGAGCAGCGCACGAGCGAGCAGCGGCCACCTGGGACCTCGGCTTCTCGTGCTCTCGCGCCTTGCCGCGAGGCGATCGGCCACGTGTTTTTCTACCTCCTGCGCGGCAAGCTCCCGTGGTCGGGTGCAGCGCGCGGGGGGGGGAGGGGAGGGGACGGGTGGGTGTGGTGGGTGGCCTAGCCGGGGGTCGAAGAGAGGGGCCCTGAAGGGGCCCTCTGGAGCGCCTCTTTCTCTGCCCCCCCGTGGAGGCCCCCCCCACTGCCACCCGCCCGAGGAGGGGCACCATCCCCTCCAGAAGGAGGGCGGGGGGGGCAGTGAGAGGGGAGTCGGGGTGGAACTCCTGGGAGGTTGGACTCGGCATCGGCGCTGGCACAATCCCGCTTGAATCCGGCTTGAACCCGCTTGGTTCGGCGCAAGTCTGGCTTAAATAGCAATTGCTGTCCCAGTATCGCTACTGTTCCCTCGTTGCTTCGCTTCTGGGGGACCTTCCGGAAGTCCTCGTCGCCATGTCCGGGTTCGCTTCGAAATTCTCATCACGACGCTTTCTGGGAGGCATGTTTAGGGAGTAGCGGTCTCGGCGGTTCCCAGGTGCTTGCGGCAGATCCGCCAACGTGCCAGCGAAGTCTTTTGTGTAGCGACCTTTCGAGCATCGCCCAGCAGGCCGTCGCATGGAGCGTATTTCTTTATTGCTTGGGGGCTTGGGGCATAATATGCATTATAGCCCCCAGCCCCCCCTCCCCCCTTCTCCTATAATGTAACGCCCCTCCTCCCCCCAGTGCGCTCTGGGCACTGCCGCCGTGCGCACGGCGGGGGGGAGGCGTTTCATTATATCCTCTCCTGGCCCCTCCCCCCCTATAATGCCCATGATCGCTGAAAATACAGAATCGCGCCCAATGCAGCATCTCTCGTTTCCACTTCTTGGGGCTCTCTCATTGGAACTGTCCAGCTGCATCCGGCAATGCCGCCCCGGTGCGAGCGTAGCATTCTGGGCGGCAGTTTTTCGAGAAGGTAAGGGAGCTTGCTGGAGGCCTCGAGGGGCACAAGGCTCGAATGCTTGGTTGTCCAACTCTTGGGCCCTTCTTGGGCCGTCTTGGGGCCCTCCTGGGCAATCCTGGGCGCCTCTTAGGCCGTCTTGGAGCTCACTTAGGGGCCTCTTGAACCGTCTTGGGGGAGTCCTGGGAGCCTCCTGGGCCGTCTTGGAGCGTCGGAAGCTCGAAAGGCCGAGAACCCGAAAAAGAACAAAATAAACGACGGTAACTCAATGATGTTTGCTTCTCGGGGCCCTCTCGGGGGTCTCTTTTGACTCTCCTGGGGCCTCCTGAGGCTCTTCTTGGGGCCGTCTTGGAACCCTATTGTGCATTCCTGGGCGCCTCTTGGAGCCCTCTCGGACCCTCTTGGGCCTCTTGGGCCTCTCGGGGCAGTCCTGGTGGCCTCACACAACGAAACACCAACGGAAAAGCAATCATGGTTGCCTCTCGAGACCATCGTGGGGAGTTTCTTGGGGCTTTCTTGGGACGCCCCGAAGGCCTCGAGGACCGTCTTCAAGCCACCTTGGGCTGTCTTGAGTCCAAAGTGGCCCGTCTTGGAGCGATATTAGGCCGTCTTGTAGGCATCTGGGCTTCGGGAGCGCTAGTATGTCGTATTTTGCGACGGGCTGTGGCCTCGGGGAGAGTAGGATGCGCGCCCCTGGGCGCTTCCCGAGAGTGTGCGGCCCCCTGGAAAGATTACAGAAACAGCACTTGGCATTCTAGCACGCCTCACCGTGGCAGGGGGCATCGTGGCAGATCTGTGCCGTCTTGGGGCTGCTTGGGGCTCCTGTGGTCGGGAGTCTGGATCAGTACAGCAATGCATTTCGCCCCAGACAGCAGTTTTTTGCCTCGACGGCGGCGAGTGCTGATGCCTCTGGGGGAGGCGAGGAAACGATGCAAAAAAGCGCGATTGAGGGTTGGCGCCAGCGCTGCTGTGAAAAGGCAGCCAGGCAAAAGAGTCTGAGTGATGGTCGAGGATGTGTTGTTTTCTTGTGTTTGGTGGTGTAAGCGTTTTGTGTTGTTTCCATTGAGTTTTTTGGGTGTCTTGTTTTGTTTGGCATTTGGCCCCGTCGCAGATTTCCGGGCCCTTGCGAGCCCCCGATGTGGGCCAGTCTTCTTGGGCTCTGTGAGGTCGTCTTGGACTATGTTTGGGCCCTCCTTAGCCGCTTCGCGGCCGAACCGTTTTGGGGCGCCAGTGAGCCGTCGTGGGGATCTCTGGGCCGCCTGAGGGGTCTCTTGAGACAGACTTGGGGCCTTCTTATATCGTCTCGGGTCCCTCCAGAGGTCCTCTTGGGCCAGCTTGAGGTCATGTTTCTCTCCTGGGGCTGCCTTGGGCGTTCGAAGGCCTCAGGTGGAGCGATGTTCGACCGAAGAGCTTGGAGCGCGGAGAGCACTGAACACCCTTGAGGTAAATCAGTGAGTGTTGGCCTTTCGGGGTTCCCTGGTAAGCGCCTCGGCTGGTGTCTTGGAAGCCTATTTGGGCGTCCTTCAGTTAAGGATGGGAGCTGGCGGACCGCTCTGGAGACCATCTCACGCCATCTTGGCGGCCCCAGTGGCCTGTGGGCATATTCCTTGGGCCCCCTGGAGAGCACCCGGGAGGCGTCGGGGCGGCCAGGAGCCCTCAAAGCAGGAGGGGAAGTGCACGCAGCGGAGTCCGGAGGAGGAGGGAGGAGGGAGTGGGGGAGGGAAGGAGGGAGGGAGGGAGGGAGGGACGAGGAGGACGAGGGGGAGGAGGAGAAGGACGAGGACGAGGACGAGGAGGAGGAGGAGGCGGAGGAGGAGGAGGAGGAGGAGGAGGAGGAGGAGGAGGAGGAGGAGGCGAGGGGGCGGCCGTCGGAGACTCAACAGGAGCGCCTACCAGGCAGCACCTGGCGCTCCGCCACGCCGCAGCGCGCCGGGAGGCATCGGTGGCGGGTCCCTGCGCTTCCCCGAGAGGAGCAGCGCAAGGGCGGAGGGGGGGGCTTCCAGCAAAGGACTCGAGCGGTGCGCTCGCGGGGCGCTCGGAGGGGGGGACGGCCACGCTGCGGCAGTCCGAGAGTCACGGACCAGCGCCGCCGCCGCCGCCCACCCTCCGAGGCAGCAAAAGTTGGCGAGGCGGAAGGAAGGGAGGCAAGGGGAGAAGGGGGAGAGGGAGAAGGAGGAGGAGGAGGAGGAGGAGGAGGAGGAGGAGGAGCAAGTGAGGAAGGGGAGGAGGAGGAGGAGGAGGAGGAGGAGGAGGAGGAGGAGGGGGAGGAGGAGGGCAAGCTAGGTGCGCTCGCGTCATATCTGACATCCTACCCCTCCCTCCCATCCCTTACCGTGGCGTAGATCCCCTCTCTACTCGCACAGTCGGATGTCGAGCAGGGCAATGATCCCGAAATGGTACGCGATGCATTGTAGAGCACGGCATGGCATGGCGTAGAAGAGCACCGCAAAGCGTAGTATGTCGCAGCATGGCGTGGCGTGGCGTAGTTAAGAATTGCATCACAAAGCTTTGCAACGCAAAGCATGACATCGCACAGCGGCCCCGAACATAACATTGCATAGCATGGCGTTGAAGATCAAAGCGTAGCATGGCATAGCACGACGTGGCTCTTAAGCATTGCATATCACAGCTTCAGCTGAAGGCATGGCATCGCGCAGCGGAACGCAACCTGGCATTGCATTGCATGCCGTGGCATGGCTCCGGAAATGACGCCAGCGCTGCAGCGGGAGCACGATTCGGAACGAGCGGAAGCACGGAAGTGAGGCCAACGCTGCAGCGGGAGCACGATTCGAAACGAGCGGGGCCCGAAAATGAGGCCGGCGCCTCAGCGAGAGCAGCATTTTGAAAAACAAATGCAGGCGAAAACCCAACTCCGGGGAATCCTATGTGAAAAAACAGTACGCGGGGCGGGGGTGCGAACATTCCCAACCCGTCATCAGGGGAAGGAGGAGAGTAGTACTCATATTGAGTCATTGTGGAGGGAGGGAGAGGGGAAGGAGGGAGGAGGAGGGGAGAAGGGGAAGGAGGGAGGAGAGGAAGGGGGGGAGAAGGAGGGAGGCACGAAGGGGGGGAGGCGGGGAAGGAGGGGGGCAAAGGAAGGCGGGGCGAGGGCGGGGGCGGGCGAGGAGCTCTCGGCAGGCCTGTGCGCTCGGGGCCCTCTCTCGGAAGTGCCTGTCATTGGGCCTCCGGGGGGGCTTCTTGGGGGCCTGCTGGCTGCACCTGGGGCCTCTTTTTCGATGCTTGTTTCGGGGACCTTCCTGGGGGCCACCTAATGGATCTGTTCGACTCAGGTTCGACTCAAGTTCGACTCAGGTTCGACTCGGGTTCGACTCAGATTCGACTCAGGTTCGACTCATGTTCGACTCAGGTTCGACGCAGCTTCGGCGCACGAGTGGAGCGAGTGGCTGCAGGAAGGTCCCCAGAATGAGCATCTAACTCTTTCGCAGGCCTAGAGGTTGACACCAACACCAATTTCGGCGGTGTGCCCCGACCGAGGGCAGAAGATCCCGCTCTTGGCGATGGTGGTAATATACTCTGGCTTCCAGGGTGACCGAGATATTACCACCAACACCGAAATCTAGGATCATCGTTCCCCTGTGGAGGCAACCCCCTGTCTTGGGGTTGGTGCCCATTTCCAGGCCTCCAGCTTTTGCCCGTCGGGCCAGTGCGGCGGATCACAGTTTCAACGGGATCTGGCCCCAAAACGAGTCTCTGGTGCAGCAAGGGCCTCGCTCAGGCTGATGGAGGCTTGGGCGCGTGGCCATTGCTATTCGAGCTGCTCGTCGATTGTGATTTGGGAGGCACGGGCGACCGACGCCGCGCTGTCAGGCTTAAAGGCCAAGACCGACGAGGAGAAGTACCGGAAGATCGGAGAAGTGAAGGCAGGCATGGGAGTGTCCAGCTTCATGCGAGCGCCTAGGTTGCGTCGGCTTGGATACGGAAGACAGTCTGACAGTGGTTTGCCTGAGTCGTGGGGCTTCGCCAGCGATGCAGCCTTTGTTTTCTCGTTAGAGGGGTGCAGTTGTTGCACGGCCGACGGTCTTCTTCGCATTCGTGGTCCATTACCGTTCCCTCCCCCCTCCCGACAGGTTGGGGCTGTTAGATATCAAGAGAAAGCCCCCCCCCCTTCCTCGTACAGCGGAAGCCCAGGCCAAGAAGCACCCTGCTTGCCTCCAGGGTGCTCTGGGTTTCTTGGGTTTCGATGGTCTTGCGATGGAGAGCGTGGCGTTCCCACGCCAACACTCAGTGGGCGCCCTGGGGTCTCCAGACTGGGCTTCCTGTGCACGCCTTCTTGTGGTCGGGCTCCCACTGTGGTCTTGCAGAGAGAGAGAGAGAGAGAGAGAGAGAGAGCCCCCGCCCCGGCCGCCGGGCCCAGAGCCTGCTGGTGCTCCCTGGAGGTCTCGCCTCGTGCCTTCGACGAGTGACGCTTGCGTGAGGCGCGACCGCCGGGCCCTCGGGGGTCCCTCTCCGCGCTCTCCGGTCGGGATCGCTCGAGGCAAACTCAGCGAGGACAGGAGAGACCTTCCAGTGAGGACGTGACCTCACTGAGGTCCCCATCTTTGCACTGTGGGTAATCGCTCTGGGCGGTTTGGTTTGGCACATCTGCAGAAAAGGCCCCCCTGTCCCTGCCGTGTTTGACCCTCCTAGCTTGGGTCCCCTCCCAAAGCAGCAGGGGTCCTTGTTCGGTTGACCACCAATGGCCTGAATGCTCAGTGTTTCCCCTTTTTTGCCTCCCTGGCACCTCTCCCCCTCCGCGCCCTCCCACAGTACAGCTCCTGTGCCTCCCTGGCTGCGTCTCCCGCCGGTCTAGGCCCCCGGCCGATCCCGCCGCTCCCATCCTCGGGCTCGCGCGCCGGTGCTGCCCCTGCCTCTCGCCCTCTCCGCCGGCGCGGTGCCGCGCCCCCCGCCCTCAGGGCCCAGCTCGACGCGATCGAGCCGATCCTGTAGCTACAGCGGGAGCCCATGCCAAGAAGCACCCTGCTCGCCTCCAGGGTGCTCTGGGTTTCTTGGGTTTCGATGGTTTTGCGATGGAGAGCGTGGCGCTCCCACGCCAAGAATCAGTGGGCGCCCTGGGGTCTCCAGATTGGGCTCTTGGGTGTCCGTGGTCGATGCGGTCCGTGGCCGCGCCCTGCCTCCCGCCGCGCCTGCGCACCCGCTCGCAGCAGACCACCCCGGTGGCCGACCTCTGCAAGGGCCACCCGCAAGAGTTCGCGAGGTACCTGGAGTACTCCCGCGCCCTGAAGTGGGAGGCGCCGCCGTCCCTCCATCAGTGGAGGATCTTCTCCTGAATCCTCCTCATCCTCCTCCTCCTCCTTCCTCCTCTTCCTCCTCGTCCTCCTCTCCCTCCATCAGTGGAGGGCGAGGAGGATGATCAGGAGGAGGATCTTCTCCTGAAGTGGGAGCCTCTCCCGTGCGGAGCCCGGGGGCCCGGGGTCCCGTGCGCATGCCTCGCAGGAGGCGAGGATCGGGCCTGACGAAAAGGGGGGGGGTACAACATTTGCTGCATGCGGCTGGTTTCGGCCCCACGGAGGTGCCCATTCCTCGATACATAGCCGCCTCCGGGCGCCGGGAGGCGCCGGGAAAATCAGCTGCGTGAGCTGATTCTCAAACCCACCCCTTGCTATCCCCCCCTTGCGCCCGACCCGGAGGACGACGGAGCAGGGTGGCGATGGCCGTGCCGCGCCGGGTCACAGGCTGGGGCTTATAAAGGGCCGTCTGCAGATGCTCCTGTTGGAGCTGTGGGGCCCACTGTTCTCAGAGGCTGGGGCCTCTGTTGGAAGCTCGCTGCAGGCATGGACGGGAGAAGGATCCTGGGGACGCCCTCGACACTCTCTTCGCGGGTAGACGCCGCCGCAGACTGGGGAGTTCTTGTTAAGTTGGGAGCCTGAGAGGCGGGCCCGAAGGGCTGCGCCGTAGCTCGTCCCCCCAGTCGGAGCGCTGGCGGGCAGCTTGCTGGCGCCTCTCTGACTGGAATCCAGCCCCCCTGTTGTCCCCCCTCCTTCCCGGGGCTCGTCGGCCCCGTGTCTTTCCCGTCGCCTGTATTTGACCTTTGCCCCTCCCAAGTCCTCTCTCGTCGCGCGTCCCGGCCTCATCCCCCGTCCCGTGCCCATCCTGCCCTGATTATGCCTCTTCTGCCCCAGGGCCCCCTCTTTTCCTCCCCCCTCTTTCCTTCCCTCTCCTCTTTCTCACCCATCGTTTTCTCGCCCCATCTTTTTCTCACTCCCTCTTTCTCTCACCCCCTCTTTTTCTCACCCCCTCGCTCTCCCTCTCCTTCCCCTCCCCCTCCCCCTCTTTTTCTTCGAACCCCCTCCCCTCTCCCGTTCCGCCCTGCCGTTATTCCCCCATGTCTTGCCTTTTGGCCGCTTCTTGAAAAAGGAGGGGCAGGAGGAGGTGGAGGAAGAGGCCAGGGATCTACGCGGATCGGAGCAGGACTGGGCACGTTTGCCGCGTTCTGCGCTATCCATCCCTCTCGTGCCAAACCGATCTCGAGCTTCCAACAGTGTTCGCATGTGCTCGGGCATCTGCGCTAGACCTGGTCAATCGGTCACCGCATTTATCGCGAAGGTCGACCAGAGACGGTTGCAGCGCGCTTGAGGCGGCTTGTTCAGCGCCTCGCCGTTCTTCGTCTTCTCCTTCTCCCCTCCCCACCTCCTTTCTTCCTCTCCTGTCTATGCCCCGCTGTCGCGTCGCTGTGGGTCCATCTCCGCTCGCTCTTCCGCTTTCCACTCCCCACTCTGCCCGCGCGGCGCGTGGAGTGCAACCCTCGCAGGTGCACCCAGTGCTCGCGTTGGAGCGTGGGCTCCCCCCTCCCGCTCACCACTGCCGTTCGCTTCCCTAAGTGTGTGTGTGTGTATGTGTGTGTGTGTGCGTGTGTGTGTGTGTGTGTTTGTGTGTGTGTCGGCCCTCTGCATATCGGAGGGAGCCGACTGTCGAGACGCGAGTGACCGACGTCTCTGCTCTCCTCGAGGCATTCACGTGAATGCACATGTTCGGTGGAGCAAATGCGGCACTTCGTGAAACGCATGAGTTAGGAATGGGCCGAGTCAAAGCAATAGTTGTGCAACGGGAGCAAAAACGTATCGTCCTCCCTCCTGGTCCCGCTTCCTCTCCTCTTGCCGCCCTCCCATTCTGCGCCCGGGCCGGCCAGGAGAGACCCGACTACGAGCGGCTGCACCAGCTCATTCGCAGCGTCCGTGAGCAGGCCCCGTGCCTGACCCGCCCGGGGGCCGTCCTGTGGGAGGTGTCGACTACACGTAAGAGTAACCTTTCGCTGGAGTGGCTCGTTGGTGCGGGCCCAGTGTCGGACGGAGCTATGACCAGGGCAAATCCGCTACGGAGCGTGACGCAACGCTCTCAGAGCGTTTCGGAACGCTCCGAGAAGGCCACGGCGCCCGACACATCCTCCAGCGCCGTCGGATCTTAGAGATTCTCGATGTATCCTCACCCGATGTTATCTTCGTCCTGGCTTCGTCTTACAGTGGGGGGCCCCCCGATCGCTGAATGCGACGCGATAGCAGCGGCTTGCGCGCCGGGCGTTGTCCCCTAAGGCCCCCCCCTGGCCGCGCGCTCGAGGCACCTCTTGCCCAGGGCCCCTCTTGCGTGGAACCGATGGAGGGGCAGATGAATTCGGACTTCCTTTCGTCGTCTCTTCACCTCGAGCCGCCACGAAGAGAGCTCTGGAGGGATGGGCGGAGGACGAGGAAGGGAGGGACGGCGCAAACGACGCGCGCGTGCCCGCGTCAGCTGGGGCCTCTGGACCCCCATGAGCTGGAGTGGCTGCCCGAGGACGCCGCTTGCTCTGGCGCACCCGCGATGGAGGAGGCGCGGGAAAGCCGAAGGAGGAGGGGGAGGAGCAGAAAGTGGGGCATACATATAATTATGTAGGTAGTTATGTATGTATGTATGTATGTATGTATGTATGTATGTATGTATGTATGTATGTATATATGTATGTATGTATGTATGTGCATCACAAATGTATGTATGTAATGTGTGCATGCATGTATGTCTGTCTGTCCGTCTGCCTGCCAGTCTATCTGTCTGTCTGTCTGTCAATATGTCTGTCTGTATATATGTATATATGTATGTATGCATGCATGTATGTAGGTAAGTAGGTAGGTATGTATGTATGTATGTATGTATGTACGCATCTATGAGAGAGCGCGTTTCACGGGCGCTTGCCTTGGGAACATTCGGCGGCGCGTTTCGAACTGGGGGGGTGGGCCCCCCCCCAACACTCGGCACCGTCGATCAAAACCAGGGGGACTCCACTCCCCCCCCAGACCCCCCCTCCCGAACCCCCCCCTCCCTCTTCCCAAAGGGGGGGGTGTTCAACCCCCCCCCGTCGCCGCTGGAGCCGGCGCCGGCGCTGGCGGCCGCCAGCAGCGCCGACGGCGGGGACGCAGCGACGATGACCAGAGGCAGCCAGGGAGGGGTGGGGTTCAAACCCCCCACCCACCCCTTGGCGCCGGCGACGGCGAGAACGCAGCGACGATTACCACCACTACCACCACCACCACCACCGCCTCAACCCACCACCAACCCACCACACAACCACCACCACAGCTACCACCACCACCACCACCACAACCCACTTCCACCACCACAACTCACGATCACCACGACCACCACAAAAACCCACCACCACTATCACCATCACCACCACAATCTACCGCACCACCACCACCACCGCCACAACCACCACCACTACCAGCAGCACAACCCACCACCACCACCGCCACCACCACAAACCACCACACCACCACCGCCACCACCACCACCGCGACCACCACCACCATTACCACCTCCACAAACCGCCGCCACCACCACAACCCACCACCACCACCACAAACCACCACCACACCACCACCAAACCACCACCACCACAACCCACCACCAACACCACCACCACCGCACCACCACCAAACCACCACCAAACCACCACCAAACCACCATCACGACCCACCACCACCACCACAACAACAAACCACCACACCACCACAACCACCACAACCACCATCACAACCCACCACCACCACCACCGTCGTCCTCATCGACACTCCCCGCCGCCGCCCCCCGCCGCCGCAGGCGCCAGCGCCGTTCCAGAACAGGATATCGTCGTCCCCGCCGCCGCCGCCAGCCGCCGCCGACGCAGGCGCCGGCCCGAGGAGAAGGGAGGGGGGGGTCGAACCCCCCCCCACCCTCCGTCACTGGAGGGGGGGGAGCTCCATCCAAGGGTGGGGGGTCCATTTCCAACCCCCCTCTCCCTTCCAAGCGACACCACAGAACGCGACCTCATTCGCATGTGTGTATGTATATTCTGTATATATTCCCCAATCAGAGCTTTCCTCTGTAGGGGTCCTAGCGGATACATCTGATTAGGTTAGGTTTGCCGCTGATTTTTGCCGCGCGCCCGGGTGCCCGGGGGTACCCGGGTGTGCCCGGGTGTGCCTGGGTGCCCAGGTGCCCGGGCGTGCCCGGGCGTGCCCTATAGCCCGATAGACCACTAGCCCTAAAGCCCTATAGCCTTGCAGCTCTATAGCCCTATAGCTCTATATTCCTATAGCTCAATAGTCCTATAGCCCGTATATAGCCCCCTAGCACTATAGCCCTGATTGGGGTTTATTCGGTTGTATGGTTGTGTATATATATATATATATACACATATATATATATATATATATATATATATATAGACATACACCTTTCACCGGGCAGAAGGCCGACACCTTCCGGTGGGGAGATTGGGCAGAGCAGAAGCTCGCGCGCCTGGTCGTCTCTGCTGGCGGGTTCACCAGAGGTGGCCCGTTGGCACGTACTTTGCTTTGTTTGCACAAGCGCGCCACGCACGCACAGCCCTGACAGTAGTAGCGCCGTCAGAGGCGCGACGGGTCAGCCGCGGGGGCACCCCCAGCGGAGACCGACCAGCCACACGCCTGTGCCCACTCGCAATACAAATGGTTGAATCCGTAGCGTCGACGTTCAGGACAGACGGAAACGAACACGCACGGCAAAACGTCGAGCGGCACGCAGGAGACGCAGGCTAGCGAAACAAGTATTGAAAAGGATACGACACTGGGGCCCAGGCCCAGGAACCCAACACACCAATACGACTGGCGGAGCCAGTGACATACGGACACACACACACTTCGAATTTCATCACTCAATACCAAATGCATGGAACTTGCGGGCAGACGAAATCGAAGCTTGGATGCGTAGTAACGCTATAGGGACTGTCGGCTTGCAGGAACCCACAAACCCAAACTCGAAAGAGCAGGAGCACAAATGCCACCGATACTTTTCAGGGGGGTTCAACACAGGGGAGGCAGCGCGATTCTCAGCAGGTGGGGGGTCTATGGTTCAGAAAGAAAACGCGAAACATGTGTTGGATGTGACCCCAGTGAGCGATCGTATTTGCACGTTGTCTTTGGCCCACGTACTGCCCTCTTTTATGTTTCGCTCGAGAGGAGATTCGCCAGACGCCGGGGCAATGGCCCAACATACATCGTGGGAGGCTGGAACGCACGGATACAATGCGCGACCTCACAAGAGGAAGCAACGGCCATAGGAAAACACACGTTCGACCCGGGATACACGAACCCGTTTGGACGAGCTGAAGTTTCCGTGTGCAATCGGCACCTTTTCCTGACTTTCTGCCAGACACATCGGTTAAGAGCAGCAAACACATTCTCCCAGAAAGCCCGAAGCAAATTCGCCACGTACAGAGAGCCCGAACGACGTTAGAAAGCCCATTCAAACGAGGGACGCATGAACAACTCGATTTCTCCGTGTCCGCGCAACGGTTGCAACATTCAGTTTTAGATTGCGAGGCGGACACGTTGGCCAACATCTCGTCAAATCACTACCCACTCAACGCCACTATCCGGATCAAACTGGAAGCTGTCGACAAGCCACAAGGACCCAGCAGAGCCACATACAGGGAATGCTACATGCAAGGGCAGACGAAAGTCAACGACTGCTTCCGCCAGGCGATGCAGGACAACGGGAATCTCAGGGAAGTCACCAGGCGAGCTTGCGCTTCTCTTCCGAGGGGCCGACGCAAAGCCAGACACCAAACCATCCCGCGCTGGAGCGAACAGCTTCTTGACCAAAGGACCAGGATGTTGGCCGCCGGCAAACTGGAATGCTTCGATGCTCCCATTGAGATGTTCCGCAGCCGCCAAGAAGATATAGCGCAGCACGTTCTGAGCACTTTGCGCGAGAAGCTGGATGTTCGCGACAGACGGATGGGAATCCGAATTCTTACAAAGGATTACCAACCGCAACCGTACCATGTGGAAAAAAGATAGTACACCCATTCCGCGGCACCAAATGGCGGAAGATATGGCCAAACCTTTTGCGACAACAACAGGGGGGCCATCAAGCCCAAGACGAAGTTCTCAGCGAAATTCCATTAGTCTCAGCACGGGCTAACGCTGGCCAAGGACCTCTACGCAAGGAGGGATGGACCGCTACAACCAAAACATACAGCGCTGCAAGGCCCCGGGTCTTGATGCCATACCCACAGAGATTGCTTAACCCTTCTCAACGAACGGTGGGGCAACGAACACATCCCGTCAGATGTTCTGGAGGTCCGCGTAATTCTAATATTTAAGAAAGAAGACGCGAGCAACCTAGCCAACTATTGGTTGTTATCTTCATTGGGCATCAATACGCAAATGTTACGCGTCGGTGGTATAGACCGATTAGCGGCTTGATTGGAGGCACACGCGCAATGGACACAGTTCAGACCTCGAGCGAAACAACCCACTTCAGCAGCCAGACATTGCGTGCACAGGGCCGCAGAAGAGGCGGAAATAATAGGCTACGAGTTTGTTTTTTTTTGGGGGGGGCCTTATTCGATTGCGAGCAAGTTTTTTATACGCTCACCCAGAATGGTGTTGTTTCGGCGTTGCAGAGGATGGGAGCGCCTGCTAAGTTGCTACACGTGGTTCCGTATGTGTATCAAGACTCCGTTTTCAAAGCCGAGTACGACGGCCAACCATCCGATTGGTGTTCGCAGGACTTTGGAATTTGGCAGGGATGCCCCTATCGCCATAGTTAGACTTGGAAGCTTTGCCTGCGCGTTCCACGATGTCCACCAAGCCGTTGACAATTCCATGGCGCGCGCAGGACACAGGGGGCGAATTCCGATGATATTGTATACGCAGGTGGCACGAGTGTAGTCTCCAAAGGCACAAGGTCACTGAACGGGATACTGGCATCAATCGAACACGAAGGAAACAAATATGCATTGAAACCCGGCAAGGAGATGTGCGAGGTAGTCTCAGCCCACGGTCATCCCAACATACATGTTGCAGATGGCGATAAGATTATACGCGTGGACGAGGTCAAATACCTTGGATGTCGCCTGAAGGGAAATGCGACCGCGCTCGGGGAGTACAAGCACGAATCGGGGCGTGCATGGCAACGCTGCAGAAACAGGGTGCGTCCCGGAGACATCGCAGTTGCCCCGCCAAATGCAAGCCGCAGGTGCATGGCGCAGTCATTAAGTCCAAGTTCCCATGCGGACTCGCATCAGCCCAGCTCACACTGGGCACGTTACATAGACTGGACGCTTTTCAGCCTAAAGGACTTCGCAACATCTTGGAACTGCAAGCAACATGCGCCAACAAAGCCAACACGAATAAACAAGTTTACGGAGCGGCCGAAAAGCGCTCCGACCAGGAGGAATCGAACACAAACCCATGTGACCAAATCCAGTTCAACTTTACCAAGCCAGTGTTCGAGCTGAACCCGCTCATCCTGCGCAGGGGGGGTAACCTTCGACCCTTCACAGTGCAACCTGGACCGTGGACGCGCAGGAGAGTGGGCCGCGCCCGGCTGAATCGGGCGGAGCAAACGACAGCTGCACACTGGGAAGCTATCCGGGGATCGCTGCCGCCAGCTCTGCGCTTCGCGCAGGTTGGTACCACGAACCCCTTCCAAACCCACTCTACCCGAAATGCCGCCCAGAGACAGTTCATTACCTAACCGTCGTCGTCACCCCGATGTCTGTAGTTTTCCCTCCCCCGTCATCTCCCCTTCCTCCTCCTCCTCCCCCCCTCTTGCTGCCAAGCCCGCTCGCGCGTTGACACAGCCGACAGACAACACGCTCCGCCCCGCACGCGCCGCGGCACCCGCCGCGTTGGGCGCGGAAGCGCGGCTCTCGCGCATCGCCCTGAATATATATATATATATATATGTATATACACATATACACATATATACATATCTATAGAGATATAAACATATGTATATATATGTGTATATATATGTATATATATATATATATATATAAATGTATATATATGTACACATATATACACATGTGTATGTTTTATCAGACGCACCTCTCCGAGGGAGCGGGGCTCAGAGGCGATCGATTGAAGGCCGCGCCGCGTCCTCGATGTTCCTGGCCGCTTCGCGAGGAGCATCCTCGAAATTCTGAAAAACGGTGGCGCCTCTCACACAGATCGTGGCGCCAGGGTCCAAACAAACATGGGAATTTCAACATTCTAACATAACACCTTCGAACACACATGGTAATTTTAAGGATTTCGACCCCGATTCTCAAAGACCGGCGGTTTCGCCTGAGACATCCTCCGAACATCGAGCCCCGACGTACCTTTTGGTACCCCTGACCCCACCTCGGAGCCTCTTGGGGGCCTCCTGGAACCTCCTGGGGTTTCCTGGATCCTCCTTGGGCCTGCGGTCTCTTGGTCGGGTTTCCTGGAACCTCTTGCGGCCTCCATGGACATCCTCGCAACTTCGACCCCAGACTCACTCTCCTTCGGCCTCCTGGAGCCTCTTGCGGCCTCCCGGTCGGGCCTCCTGAGGCCTCCATGGACACTTCCGCAACCTCGATCCCAGACGACCCTTCCTGGGGCCTCCGGGAATATATTCTGGCATCTGGTCGGGCCTCCTGATGCTTCCTAGGGGCCCGTGGTACACACATCGCAAGGTGTGGCAACCCCGTTTGCGCTCGAGTGCGACCCCGCTACTGCACTTCACTCCCAGCAGCTATCCTCCTCTTCCTCCTCTTTTCGTCCTTCACTTTCCCTCCACATCTAGTGAAACAAATCGGCCGGTGGGAATCGTGTTTACACTTCTTTTGTTTATCGTTTCGCTCACTCCGCCAGCCCATCTTGCATCACTGGTGCTATGGGTTCGTGTGCTTGTGGCGAGCGAGAAGGTGAGGAGGAGCAGGAGGAGTAAGAGGGGAAGACGAGGATGAGGAGGAGGCCTCTCGATGGCTTCGTGGAGGAGGCCTTTCCACCGTTTCCTCGGGCATTTCGGGGCCAAACGTCATCGTGGACCACACGCCCACGGAGGTCCGGCCACTGTCGCCATCCTCGCAGCAACTCCGAACTCCGAGATGCCCTGAACTAAGCAAGGGCTCCCACGAGGGTGCGAAGTTATTCGCGCTTCGCGGTCCTCGTTCCTTCTCCCCCTCCTCCTCGTCCTCCTCTTCTCCTCCTTGGGGGGCGGCGCGAGAGCGCGAAGTTATTCGCGCTTCGCGCAGCGCGAAGCGCGAACTTAGGAGCCCTTGACTAAGGTGGTTCAGCAGGAGCGGCACGGTTGTCGGTTGTAGACGATGGGGCCAGGGTTGCGGCGACAGGAGGAGAACAGTCTTGTCGTATGGGGTTGCGGTGAGAGTTGTGCGAATGTTTGCGGTAGGACTTGCAAGTCCCAGTTGCAGTCAAAGAGGTCGTAGAGCTGCGCTAGACTCTGTAACAGACACTGTATACATACTTGTTGGAGGTGCTGCAGTGAGAGCTGTTAGAGTTGCACAGCTGGTTGTGATACGGTTACAGTAGGAGGAGCTGCATTGTGAGATCTAGTGCAAGCTGCACTGAACTGTAGAAGGATCGTAGGAGGTGTAGCGAGAGCTGCGTTGCTGGTTGTTGTAAGAGTAGTCTTATGAAGTGCTGTGGGATATGTAGGATAGCTGCAATAGACGCAGTAGCAGGAGCAGCATCAGCAGCTTTCAAACGAGCTGCAATGTGAACTGTAGTGACGGCTGCACTGCTGGCTGTACACGGTTTGTAGTAGGAATTGTATTGGGATTTGTATTGAAAAATCGATGATTGATTGAAATCAGATCCCGTAGTAGGATCTGCCGACACACGAATCATACGGGACATAAGGACGGGGGCGGAAGAGAATATTGATGACGAGAGCATAAGGTATGAGGAGAGCGAGGGTGGTGGCGGAAGATGCGGCGAAATAGGACTCACCGAACATAACGCAACATGTATGATCAAACAGGGGGGGGGGGCGAGGGGGCGAGCTATATATGATCGAAGAGAGAGAGTGGTAAACAGAGAGCGAGAGAGAGGGTGAGTGAGTGAGTGAGTGGGAAGGAAGGAAGGAAGTGGGGTGGATGCAGAAACGAGGGTGCGGAGGGGGGAAGGGGGAGAAAGGGGGAGAAGGAGTGCGAGGACACGGACAGAAGGGAGGAGGGAGATGAGGGGAAAGGAGGGTGCGCAGGAATAACAAGGATGGGGGCATGAGGAGGATGAGAAGAAAAAATAGTGATAACGACTACCACCATGAGGCGGAAAGGCGCAGACCGATGCCACTGATATTGTGAGGAGGCGTGGGATGGGGTACCGCAGGTGCACGGTGTAACCTCATCAGACGCTGCTTCGGGTGCTCTCAACGAGGCATCGCTATCCAGTGGGGACCATCGAGGAGCATCTCTTGACATCTTGCTAAAAACATCCACGCACGAAATCTAAAAATGCACGGGACATGGACGTCCGAGCGATGGCCAGTCATTCGTTGCGCAAGGTTTGTCACATTGTCCAGGATCGGTCGACGTGTTTTTCAAGATGCGGACGGGACGTTGGATTGTGGATCGTCTTTCCCTCGCTCTCTGGCGCGCAATGATGGGGGCAACCAGCGGCAACCAGGTTGCAGAACTAAGTTTGAACGTCTTCGCCAAGACATGTTCCAGAACATTCACCTCTCACTAGGGATAGTCGAAATCAACACCCGAAGCCAAGGACATGCGCGGCCAGCCATCTTCGCGCAGGGTAGGTACCAGCTTCAGTAAGACGTGGTGAGTTTGATTATTTGGCCGTTGGTTGCCTCGTGGAATTTTGTTATGTTTAGATCAGGCTTGATTAGCATACTCATTCTCTCCTGTGCTCGACATGTGCCCACGCCCCTGAAGTTCGGGCAGGTCCTTGAGCGTAGGCCACGACGTTCTCTCCCCGCCCGCTGCCATCTCGGCAGGATCTTGATGTCGGGGCGTTCACGGCCATCAGGCGCCGTTTTCCCATTGCCTTCTCGCTTCGGGGTGCTCATTCACGAAGTCTGCAGAGAGGGCGTGGCCGTCGATCGTCCTTGGTAGCGTGTTTGAAGGAGGGAGCGCTAACGTGAAGTCGGGCGTGTCCCTCTACAGGAGGACTATTCAAACATAGTCAACACATAGTCTGGAACTACTTTTCGACTATGTTTGAGCAGTGCTTGAACAGTTTTTGACTATTGTCTATTGTTCGTTCGAAATCCGCCTGTAGGGGGACATGCCCGACCTGACGCTAACGAAGGGCGTTTTCGAACATAGAACTGCCCATGCCTCAGGTGCATTTCTCCGTGACGCGGGCCCCAGAAGCTAGGTTTGACCCCCTGAATTGCTGTTTCGTCCCGGGTGTGTTGGCTGACATTGGGCCCCGAGACGCGCCTCCAGATACCACGCGTTCGAGACATCAGATGTTCCTGAGGTGGTGCTGCTTGCGCCAGACGTGTTGTGCCGGGGCATGTTCGTGGGACGACGGTGGCGATGTGTTGTTCGTGGCCGATGCCGAGAGGCGGGGAAAGATGGGTGGCAGAGGAACTTGTGTTTGTCTAGGTGTGGTCTTCGTAGTTCCCGGAAAGGGCGCGGGCCCAGGGTTCTCTTTTAGCCGTTTACCCCCGGATCTGACGGGTCAAGCGCCGGCGAAATTATTTGCGATAAATAACGAGGTAAAGTGCTGATTTTTTTAGAAAAAGTGCGTTTTGTGCGTGCCCGCTCGAGGAAAGTTCGCCCCCCATCTCGGATCCTCGATAAATAACGGGGTCCGCAGACCCCCGCTTTCCCTCGTAAAAAAGAGGGTGCGGAGCGTTTTTCGCAGAATCCTCGAAAAATAACGGGGTCTGGAGCCCCGACCGCGACTCGGAAAAGCGCCCCGCGCGCAGGAATTCCGAGGATGTCTCGCGCGTGCCGCGTCCCGCGCGCAGGAATTTCGAGGATGTCTCGACTAATTCGCTTGTTTTGTCAGGATTTCTTAGAACTTTGGCAGGATGTCTCGAGCGAAACGCTTATTTTACATAGTTTGTGGAGGATGTCTCGAGCGAAACGCTGGTTTTCGCAAAATTTGGAGATGTCTCGAGCGGGGGGCCAGAATTCAGAGGATGTCTCAGGCGAAATGCTTGTTTTCGTGTCCCGCTCGCGGGAATTCCAAGGATGTCTCGCGCGGGCCGCGTCCCGCGCGCAGGAATTTCGAGGATGTCTCGACTAATTCGTTTGTTTTGTCAGGATTTCTTAGAATTTTGACCGGATGTCTCGAGCGAAACGCTTGTTTTTCATAATTTGTTGAGGATGTCTCGAGCGAAACGCTGGTTTCTGCAAACTTGGGGATGTCTCGAGCGGGGGCCTCGTGGGGGGCCAGAATTCAGAGGATGTCTCAGGCGAAATGCTTGTTTTCACGTCCCGCTCGCAGGAATTCGGAAGATGTCTCGCGCGTGCCACGTCCCGCGCGCAGGAATTTTGAGGATGTCCCGTAGCGCGTCCCCTTGGCACGGCCTACGGTGCGACCCCATGGCACGTCCCTTGGCACGTCGCCTGGCGCGTCCCTGGGGACGTTTCGCGGCGCGTCCTCCTGGCATGTCCCCCTGTCAATTAGCTCTGGGGCAGCTACTATGTGTTCAGGAAGCTCGAGCTTCAGATCCAGATCAGTTCGGTCAGGACTTGGATGCAAAGGAAGACTCGCGCGCAGGAATTCCGAGGATGTCTCGCGCGTGCCGCGTCCAGCGCGCAGGAATTTCGAGGATGTCTCGACTAATTCGCTAGGTTTTGCAGGATTTTCCGTAGGAGGGCCAAGGAGAGGCCCCGAAGGCTCTGGGAGCGGCGACGACGACGACGACGACGACGACGACGACGACGTCTCTTGGGGTTCTCTTGGACGGTTTGTAGAGTCCACGCTTACATGATCGACGGGTCGAGGACAGCGCGACGACGACGACGTCGCGGTGGCGGCGGCGTCCACCACGACGACAAAGTCTCATCTTAGAGCCTTGCGTGGGGGGGTCTCTTGGGGTTCTCTTGGAGGGTCTCTGGAGGGTCTGTAGAGCCCACGCTTACACGATCGAGGGATCGAGGACAGCGCGACGACGACGACGACGTCGCGGTGGCGGCGGCGGCGACGACGACGACGACAAAGTCTCATCTTAGAGCCTTGCGTGGGGGGGTCTCTTGGGGTTCTCTTGGAGGGTCTCTTGACGGTTTGTAGAGCCCACGCTTACACGATCGAGGGATCGAGGACAGCGCGACGATGACGACCACGTCGCGGTGGCGGCGGCGGCGACGACGACGACAAAGTCTCATCTTAGAGCCTCTCGTGGGGGGGTCTCCGGGGGTTCTCTGGGAGGGTCTCTTGGGGGTCTGCAGAGCCCACGCTTACACGATCGAGGGCTCGAGGACAGCGCGACGACGACGACGACGTCGCGGTGGCGGCGGCGGCGGCGATGACGACGACAAAGTCTCATCTTAGAGCCTTGCGTGGGGGGGTCTCTTGGGGTTCTCTTGGAGGGTCTCTTGAGGGTCTGTAGAGCCCACGCTTACACGATCGAGGGATCGAGGACAGGGCGGCGGCGGCGACGACGACGACAAAGTCTCATCTTAGAGCCTTGCGTGGGGGGTCTCTTGGAGGGTCTCTTGGGGGTCTGTAGAGCCCACGCGCGGTGGCGGCGGCGGCGACGACGACGACAAAGTCTCATCTTAGAGCCTTGCGTGGAGCGGTGTCTTGGGGTTCTCTGGGAGGGTCTCCTGGGGGGTCTGTAGAGCCCACGCTTTCACGATCGAGTGATCGAGGACAGCGCGACGACGACGACGACGTCGCGGTGGCGGCGGCGGCGACGACGACGACAAAGTCTCATCTTAGAGCCTTGCGTGGGGTGTCTCGGGGTTCTCTTGGAGGGTCTCTTGGGGGTCTGTAGAGCCCACGCTTTCACGATCGAGTGATCGAGGACAGCGCGACGACGACGACGACGTCGCGGTGGCGGCGGCGACGACGACGACGACAAAGTCTCATCTTAGAGCCTCTCGTGGGGGGGTCTCCGGGGGTTCTCTGGGAGGGTCTCTTGGGGGTCTGCAGAGCCCACGCTTACACGATCGAGGGCTCGAGGACAGCGCGACGACGACGACGACGTCGCGGTGGCGGCGGCGGCGGCGACGACGACGACAAAGTCTCATCTTAGAGCCTTGCGTGGGGGGGTCTCTTGGGGTTCTCTTGGAGGGTCTCTTGAGGGTCTGTAGAGCCCACGCTTACACGATCGAGGGATCGAGGACAGGGCGGCGGCGGCGACGACGACGACAAAGTCTCATCTTAGAGCCTTGCGTGGGGGGTCTCTTGGAGGGTCTCTTGGGGGTCTGTAGAGCCCACGACGACGACGTCGCGGTGGCGGCGGCGGCGACGACGACGACAAAGTCTCATCTTAGAGCCTTGCGTGGAGCGGTGTCTTGGGGTTCTCTTGGAGGGTCTCTTGGGGGTCTGTAGAGCCCACGCTTTCACGATCCGACGACGTCGCGGTGGCGGCGGCGGCGACGACGACGACAAAGTCTCATCTTAGAGCCTTGCGTGGGGTGTCTCGGGGTTCTCTTGGAGGGTTTCTTGGGGGTCTGTAGAGCCCACGCTTTCACGATCGAGTGATCGAGGACAGCGCGACGACGACGACGACGACGTCGCGGTGGCGGCGGCGGCGACGACGACGACAAAGTCTCATCTTAGAGCCTTGCGTGGGGGGGTCTCCGGGGGTTCTCTTGGAGGGTCTCTTGGGGGTCTGTAGAGCCCACGCTTACACGATCGAGGGATCGAGGACAGCGCGACGACGACGACGTCGCGGTGGCGGCGGCGGCGACGACGACGACGATCCAGCGTAATCCAGGCCCCCAGCGAATCCGTGTGTTCTTACGTATGTGCCTATAGATTAGGCTTCCCAGGTCCACACGGCCCCCAAAGAGTTCCCTCAGGGCCCCCAAAGAGCTCCAAGACGGTCCGAGAGGGCCTTGGGATCGCCCGAGGCAGCATGCAGCACTACCGACGGTACGGCAGCAGCGACGACCGTGCCTTGCGCTTGTGGGACATCTGTTTACTCGGGTACACACGATACCTGCGACGCCAGCTCCAACACGTGCGTTCAGGCGAGTTCTGTTAGATGTATGGGAGGAGGAGGAGGACGCAGAAGAGGAGGAGGAGGAGGAGGAAGACACGTGTCAAGTCCTGCATTCGAGCTGCGCCTTCTTCCCGACATGTTTTTTTTTTTTTTGTTCCCGGAAAGGGCGTGGGCCCAGGGTTCTCTTTTAGCCGTTTACCCCCGGATCTGACGGGTCAAGCGCCGGCGAAATTATTTGCGATAAATAACGAGGTAAAGTGCTGATTTTTTTAGAAAAAGTGCGTTTTGTGCGTGCCCGCTCGAGGAAAATCTCGGAGTTCCGCACCCTCATCTCGGATCCTCGATTAACGGGGTCCGCAGACCGCTTTCCCTCGTAAAAAAGAGGGTGCGGAGCGTTTTTCGCAGAATCCTCGAAAAATAACGGGGTCTGGAGCCCCGACCGCGACTCGGAAAAGCGCCCCGCGCGCAGGAATTCCGAGGATGTCTCGCGCGTGCCGCGTCCCGCGCGCAGGAATTTCGAGGATGTCTCGACTAATTCGCTTGTTTTGTCAGGATTTCTTAGAACTTTGGCAGGATGTCTCGAGCGAAACGCTTATTTTACATAGTTTGTGGAGGATGTCTCGAGCGAAACGCAAAATTTGGAGATGTCTCGAGCGGGGGGCCAGAATTCAGAGGATGTCTCAGGCGAAATGCTTGTTTTCGTGTCCCGCTCGCGGGAATTCCAAGGATGTCTCGCGCGGGCCGCGTCCCGCGCGCAGGAATTTCGAGGATGTCTCGACTAATTCGTTTGTTTTGCCAGGATTTCTTAGAATTTTGACCGGATGTCTCGAGCGAAACGCTTGTTTTTCATAATTTGTTGAGGATGTCTCGAGCGAAACGCTGGTTTCTGCAAACT